AATGACCTAATTCCAGCTACCTCCCTTCAACTCGAATGAGCTGCCATCCAATATATTAACACTAACGCAGGATGAAAAGGTAACCGAAGAATCGCCCGAGAAAACTTTTCCATGGACCCATCCCGCTTGTCATTCTCGCTAGCGTTGTGGCCCATCGTCTGCCAGCTTTTGTACTCGCCCTAATTTTCATCTGATTTACCTGTAAAAACTTGTCGCCAGAGTTTAGTGCTCGCCTCTTGGAAAAGAAAATACCCGTTGAAGTACCGCCGTTACGTTATAAATGTCTTTCAGACGCAAGGAAGTTTTACCAGGTCCACATAAAGTTGGTCCGTCGTCATACAGTGTCGACTTCTGCCCCAAACCACTAAGGAAGCGCACGCCGCCCAGAGTTCGAGAAGGCAACATCCTTAATTCGTATCCTGGTAATGTTCTTTACCCATACAAACTGCCCGAGGAGGTGAGAGAAATGCACTCATATGGGAAATATTATTTTTACCTCATTGATGGGAAAATGCTTGCACATGGTCGCTTGCTTTAGTAATGTCACAAGCACTCGCTTTTTTACGCCGGAGAGTTACGAGTTCAAAGACTATCGTGCCAGTATATTTTTGCAGACAAGACCTTGCGAAAATTGCAAAGGGTTTAGGAAAATGTCTACTCCAGGACCTTTTTTCCTTTTTTCTCTTCGACAATCCTTCTTGACCAAATTGTTTTTTTGCTATTCATATTGAACTCAGTTGTACCTAAACAGGTCCATTTCCATGGAAAACCCTTTTGGCTTTGTCTTACAGCTTAACTTTGATATTGTTTTGCAGATAATTACTATATGGAAGCCATTTCCGGTCAAGATGTCAGATTGTGATCAAACAGAAGAGCTTCTCACAAGGCTTGTTAGCAAGATGTATCGAACTTCATATCAATTAGATTTTCAGCAATAAGATCCGAGTTTTAGAAACCTTTCCTTTCCCGCCAAATGTCACCCGCCCATCAATAAGATCCGATTTTTAGAAATCTTTCCTTTCCCGCAAAATGTCACCCGCCCAACCTTGACGGACACTGTTTGTCCAACCTTGACAGACACCGTTTGTGGGACATTTTAAAAGTAGAAGTGAATAAAGAGTGAATCAAAATCTTACCTGTCCTAAAACCAGCGTCAGCAACAAGTTCATTCCGAGTAATTCTCAGCAAAAGAGAGGACTGGAGGAGAATTAGCTCACTCTCCTTCTTCCTTTGTACACAATGAGAGTGCATGTTAATTTATTATTTATTGATTTATTAATTGATTGATTTTTTTAAATTTTTCCACTCTGCGGAATAATGCTGGGTGGCATGCCTTATTATTAAACCTTTAACCCATCAGGGTGATTAGCATCTAATTTCTCCTTACAATATCATCCCCGAATCACACATTTAGGTTACGAGAATTAAGGAAATGATCACCAAGTAAAGAAGCTCTTGATTATTCAACAAATTCTCCTTGTGAGCACCTTAGGAAATATATACGGCATAGTATGGAGAGTTTGCATACTGATGTTAAAGTGTATAGGGTTAAGAAACTGGTTGCTATGTTTCTCTTGAGTGTCAAAGAGACCATAACACACGCCATTTGGGACAAAATAAGTTTTATTCTTCCACTGTACGCACAGATTCTTACGCATGAATACTACAGATAACGTACGATAAAGAGTTCAAAGCTTTTAAAAATCTTGAAACTATTCAATAAATTAAAAATTGTGGATGTAAGCTACTTGAAAATGAAAAGACAAATCAATTTTAATCGCAAAAGATCTGAAAAAA